AAATGCCGGTGGGCTTCTCATTGGCCAGTTTGGGAAATCGGACCCTGCAGTAGATCAAACTCCAGTTTGATGGCATTTTAGGGCGGGTGGGTGGGTGGGTTAGATTCCTACAAAGAGGCTTAATTTTACATCCCACCCTCAAGAGGTCCGCTTCTGCTCCCTCCAGCCTCGTTTCCTCCAGCCCCAAGGGACCCCCACCCCAACCCATCAGCCACAGCCCCACCCCATATGCCTGTGCAACCCGTACACCCTTCCTCTTTCCCCCCTCCAAAAAAACATTCTGCTCCTCCTGAAACGTTGCTTGTAAAAAAAATAAAAAATAAACCAGGCACAAGATCTCTTTGGGACCCAGTGGATTACCCCGGGGGGTGGGATTCAAACACGCTCTTTCAAGAAGGACTGCTTTATTCCAATGTAAACAGAGGCAGGATTAATCGATTAATCGACTCGGAAACGGAGGCGGAAGTGATTTGAGAATTTAGTCGTACAATATATAGCCCTCGAAAACCAGGAGAAAGAGAGAGAAAGAGAAAGAGGGGGAAAAAGAGAGAGAGAGAAAGAAAGCTTGACCTCGTTTCGGCTGCCTTTGAGAAGCGGGGGGGAAACGGAGTTTAAACGCCCCCCCACCCTCAAAAAAAGGCAGAGAAATCCAGGTTCCCATCGGGCAAGAAATCTGTTGAATTGCTCCGGTCGTAACTTTGAGAGCTGTCCCTCATCTGTGGCCGTCGAGGGCTCAGCTTTCAGGGGTACCGGTGAGGTGGGGCCACACACACACCCCGTCATCCCGAAGGCTCTCGGACCCCCACAAGAATCACACGGGAGACCCCCCCACCCCCTCAATTGAACGTGGGGAGCCAGGATAAGCCTCCTCTTTGCTTCTCTGGCCCCCTCCCCACTTTGACCCTGGGTGGGAGAAGCAGAGGCCCCTCCTACTGTCCCTGCACCCCCCCTCCCACTTCCGAAGCATTTTTGGTGTTGCAGGAAAGCCCGATCCAAGTGTCCCTTGTAGCAAATTGAGGAGGGGGTGTGTGTCCTTCTCAGTTGCAGGCCCTGGAAGGAAAGTGGGGGGGGGGCTTGTGGGCTGGCCTCAAAGGACGGTGCAGTCCGTGTCCAGCTTCTGCCGCTGTCGGCGCTCTCCGGCGGGGCGGGGGGTGGGGGGGCTTCTCCCCTAAAAGCAGGACAAGAAAGACGAGGGAGGGGTTAATTGGGGAGGGGGAGAATTACCTTCAAAACCAGGCACGTGTGTGTGTGTGTGAATTTTAAAATTGACAAGCTCAGCCGCGTACAAGGAGAATATCAGATAGATAGATAGATAGATAGATAGATAGATAGATAGATAGATAGATAGATAGATAGATAGATAGA